GTAGAAAAATTTTTCACGCCCATTAAAGAGGGTCTCTCAAAGCAGGATGGAAGACTTAACCCTTTAACTCCCAGATCAAATTTGTAATTCTCCTTACTGTCAACAAAACAAATCTTATAGGGTTAGTTCAGAGAATTTAGTATTGGGTCAACTAACTATCCCAAATTGATATTTTTCTTTATTCTCAACACTTATCTGGTTAATATTGTATTGAAATTGTAAAGAGAAATTCTCTCTTGGTCACTCATTGGAGTTAAAGGGTTAAAACAAAGCAGGATTCCAACCACAACGATCTAATAAGCGGCCCTAAATATGCGTTTTAAAACTATTACATTTCCTGGCCATTCTTGGGAGATTAACAAATAATCAAGGTGATATCGCCAAATTTTGTGTATTTTGTGAACGGGAATTCTGAAGGCAAATTATTTACGTTTCTCTCTGTTGCTAAACACTGTCATCACATGCTATGCTATCTCGAGGAACGGTAGGAAGGCTTTAGTGCCGTTCGAACCTTTGACGAAATTCTTTGACGAAAGTCCATTTTTTACGGCGTCACTACCGGAGCAGCTTGAGCCGCCTAATATGAACTCAGGACGAGTTAGAGGGGAGGAGAAATCTGAGATGGACTGGCATTCAAGGGGTAGAATAATACAGCTGATTCCTTAATGCAAAAGTCCAGTCCAGAACTCTTCCTTCCAAGCATTACATAGCAGTTGCACACCAGCAGCCTTCGGGTTTAACCCTTACCATGCAACATGGAAGGAAAGTTTCCTAGTATGGACTATTCGTGCTATAGAAACTGGAGTCAGCTCTGGCGACGTGCGTTAGTTGGCTCGCGTGTCAAACCTCACCTGCCTTATCAACTAGTCCCACTTGGGTGGTTTATATGTGACTTTTACTCCCATTGGCTTCTTTGATTTTTTAGCGCCGCCTGGACCCCCTCCTGAAGAAGACTGGGCCCTGGTGGGTTTGTGAGGAACATCTGTGATACGAGGAGTGGACGGGTCTATGACGTCATTAAATGACGCAATGTTATCGACATCGTCGTCGACATCCACTGCCTCACCATTTTGTTTACTGTGAGGGGTGGGGTAATTCTTGTCTGGTACGAACTCTCCTTTTCTTTGTCTGAAAAAAAAGAGGAATTGGATAAACAGGAAGGATATAAAGAGCACCACGACCCAAGGAGGTCACATTGAACTTTATTAATACAGAATCTAATCCCTTTCTTGATTGTATCTTATTCATTATTTCATTTTTATATTCAAGTGCAGATCCAGGAATACTTGATGACGAGAGGGGGGGAAGGGGGGGGCAAAATTGATTCACGACCAACCTACATCCCCCTTTCCCCTCTTCAGCTGCGGTTTACAAATAAAATGAGCCAGTTGATAAGAATTTACCAGCATTTAAGTGTCAGACAAGAACTGGGTAAATCTTTGCTATGATAGAGTCGAGGGAAAGGTTTCGTAGTCCCCTAAACCTCCCTTAGGATCGACCACATTTTAAGATGACACAAAGACATACAGTTCTTGCAATAACACAACGACAAGTGCACCAACTATTCGCATTTATGAAGAAAAGATTGAATGAGATGCTAGTACAGCACAAACTACCCCTCCTCCGCCAGTATATTGCAGATTTACCTAACAGTTCATCGGTACCTATTTATTCTCCAGGATGCTGAGGAGTACCATGAAAGTATGGCGTTTTGCTAAAGAACATAACGCAATGACACTGGACCTTTACCCAGATATTTCTGTCCATAATCCAGAACACGAGTAATCGGCCGTATACACGTTTGTGTCGAAATACTCAATTTCACTCCCAGACTTGGCTTTCAAGGTATGGAATGATAAAGTTTAGCAGGAAAGTATTCCCAAAACACCGAAATCAAAGGAATACCCACACGAAAACAAAAATATAATAGCAAAGATTCATGAAAATTTTAGTACAGAAGAGCTGTTAGAGCACCCAGTCCCCCTTCCTCCACCCCCCTCAAAAACGAGTAAACTGCATCTTCAATATCAACACAGACGCCCTAGGATTTTCACTGACCTGTAAAAGCGAGTAAGTATGAACACGGATAAAACAACGAGTAGTACCAGGCCCCCGATAGCTGCGGAGATAATGAGGATGAGCAAGCCCTGGGAAATACCTTTGTCGTCATCCCCATCCGTGCTTCCCTGCACGGCGGAGGTTGGAACTGAAACAGAAAAACATCATTCTGAGAAACAACACATTGCATTCACTGCTTCCTGCGCCTTTCAAGAACATTTGATAACTCTAAAGTTAGGAGCCAACCTCGCGATTTGACGCATCCTGCCATCAATCGTGGCCGTGGAGGCAATTTAAAAGATACAATCAAAATGGACCGACCTCCTCCAATCAAAACTTATGAACAAGACATTTTGAGCCCCCTGAAACATAATTGACCACAGGCTTGGTCAAGGACTGACGAAAAGCCAATTTCAATCATCCATGACCTATTCCATAATTCGAATTTTATTGAAGAACGTAACAGTGTTGTTAGTCATTTACCTTACCCGAGCCCTTGTACAAAATTGTAAGAGACTCTAAGAAAGGTAAGAATCGATTCCTCGCAGCATAGTATGAAAAATGCCAAACAGAAATTCTTAATATCTGAGAGATGTTTTTAAGAGACAAATAATCACAGGTCCTATTAAACCAGTCATTTTTAAAGGCTTGAGAGGGGGGGGGGGGGGGGGG